CACAATTTCTGGGGCTCCCAGGGCCATCCTTCTTCCTGACCACATGAAATACTTTGGGTTTGATAATTCACTGGAATGTTTCATAGGCTGCACGAAAGTGCTACATTTGCTATTAAAGTTTTGTCATAGCAAAAAGGAAAAACATAAAAAATCACAGCTGGAGGAATCCATGTGTAGAGCAGAGTCTGGGACGGAGAGCTCCCATGTCCTCAGAGACGTGTTACCTTCCACTATCAATGTGTGGTAATGTGTGCAGGAAGTTCACCCCAGCTATGGTGTCTGAGATTGTGTTTAATAGAATTGTATTGAGATACAGTTGACAAACTTTAGAACACATTCATTTAAAGTATGGAATTCACTTTCTTAGCATATTCAGAATTGTAGTTTTTCATTTAATACCATTATTCCAATTAATTTTAGAACACTTTCATTATCCCCATAAAAGAAGTTTACCTAGCATCAGTCATTTCCTTTCCACCTCTTCCCTCGATTTCTAAGCAACCACTGACCTATTTCCGAATATTTTATATATTGAATGAAATATATTTTATACAATATATTTTCTTTTGTGACTGACTTATTCTGCTTAGTAGGATATTTTGTTACTTTTAAAAAAATCATTTTATTGGAGGCTCTTACAACAGTCCATACATCAATTGTATCAAGCACATTTGTACGTATGTTGTCATCATCAATTTCAAATTTTTTTCTTTATACTTGAGCCCTTGGTAAGTAGAATGTTTTTAAGATTTATCTATATTACACCTTTTATCAGTACTGCAACCTTAAAAAACTATTATTAGTGAATTGAGTGAAGTACAGAAGATCCATTTTCCATTTAACAATTCATACACATTTTGTTTGATGTCATTGGTTGTAATTCCCACAATGTATATCACTTATCCCACTTTCTCCCTGCATTTCTCATTTTATTCCACCTTCTTTTCTAGCCTTTATGAATGTTGTCCTTGAGTCTATGTTGCCCTTTTGATCTCAAATGGTTAATTATTCCATGGAGTGCAGACTACCCTTGTCCTGCTATTGTTCCCCTTATAAAGCTGTCTATTGTTATAAATGATAGTGAGTTCATTTCTAGACCTAAAGGGTGACCAAGAGCCATCTTAGTTTCTGGGTTCCACCTGTCTCTATCAGTTGAGTAAGTCTGTTCTTTTTAAAATAATTTTGAGCTTTGTTCCATATTCTAAGATCTTCTAATGTGATCTAATTTTAGAGCAGTTAGTAGTGGTAACCAAGCATCATCTAATTTTTCTAATTGTTAACTACGGTTTTCAAGGTTCATTAATCCAATGCCTAATTCTTTCCATGTGTCTTCCCGTTATGTTTCATTATTAGAATTGGTTGATCCAATTTCCTTCCATCCCTGGATATTGAGTTGATATAACTTGGCTGAGAGTCCTATCACTCTAATCACATGCTTGGTCTTTTTGACCTAGATAGTACCTGTTCTGAGTCATCTATCTCAGGGCTCACCAAGAATCACCTCTTAACATAAACTATTAGAGATGCTGTGTTAGGCCTGGTTGATTAGAGAAACAAATACAGAGACACTCATATACGTGTAAGAAAGAGCTTTATATCAAGGAGTAATTGTATATCAAGAAAGCATCCCAGCCCAGTGCAACTCAAGTCACTAAGTCCAAAACCAGTCCATGAGCCCCTCTTCAGACTCACAGCCACATGCAATGATGCAGAGCACAGGAAGATCATAGGCTTATGGGTGCAAAGTTGTGTGGCTCCAATGGTGGCGGAAGCATCACAGGGCTCTTGCAGTTTTCTGCATAGCTGTCAACTGGAAGGTGAAGGGAGAGAGAGTGGCCTGCCTCCAGCAGGCCATTTATCTCTGTAGCACCTCCAAATGAGGTCATCAAGCTGCAACCTGATTGACAGGCTAAACTCTACCCATATCTTCTTATGGGGGCCATGTTGGCACAAAATAAATGATCACAGAAGCAGGTCTGATAACAATGACATTCCAATCATTCAGAAAATGCCAAGGACAGGCCAATAGGCCATCTAAGTTCTTTATTATATAAGTAGCCATAAAGAAAAAAACTAACATATTTAAATATGTAAACTTCTCTCCAATAAAAGATACTTCAAACCAAGCCTCAGAATTAAAGAAAAGGGCTGCCATATTCAAGGGAAGTTTAAAAGTATTGCTACTAGTGTTCTAGTTCATACATGCGTGAGTTTTTTCCAAACAAAATGTGTTTAAACATGCCTCAGAAATCAGTGGATGGCTGCAGGCAAGTTCTCTCAGTAATAAATTTGGCTTAGTTTCATAGAGTACTACCAAAAATGGGAGAGGAGATACTTTTTATGCAATGGAAAAAACTGATTTTGAGGTTAAAGCTGCTATCATTTTTTGTAACCAAAACACAAATGTACACTTCCCAAATCATTGAATTTTTTGCAATAAGCTTATGGACATGCTGCTCTAACATGAAACACCTTTTTGAGATGAATCAAGCCTTTTATGGATGGTTGGGAAGACCTCAAAGATGAGTCAACAGGTATCAGAGGATCAAAAACAAGCAATTATCTGGATGCAAAGGAGAGGGATCAGAGTGGAGACCCAAAGCCCACCTGTTGATAATTGGACATCACCTCACAGAGGGGCCATACACTAGGGATGATTCATCCAGAGTGCAGTATAGCACTGGCGAAACACACAACATTCCTCTAACTCTTTAATGCTTCCTCCCACCCCACCCCCCACTATCACGTCCCCAGTTCTACCTCACAAATCCTGCTAGACCAGTGTATGTACATTGGTACAGATAAGAGCTTTTGACACGTGGAATCCAGGACAGATACACCCCTCAGAAACAGTAATGGGAGCAATGATTCCATGAGGGTATGGGAAGGGAGTGGGGTGGGGGGGGAGGAGAACTGATAGCAATGATGGATGCATAACCCCCCTCCAGGGGGATGAATAATAGTACTGTGGGTGAAGGGATGCATAGGACAGTGTCAGATATGGGAAAAAAAAAGTATGTAATTTATTAAGGGTTCACGAAGGTGGTAAGGTGGGGGAGGGAGGGGATAAAGAGGAGCTGATATCAAAGGGCTCAAGTAGAAAGAAAATGTATTGAAAATGATGATGTCAGCATCTGTACAAGTTCACTTCATATAATTGATTTATGGATTCTTCTAATATCTGTAAGAGCCCCCAATAAAATGATTAACTTTTTTAAAAAGAGGGGTCAGGAAAGGGAGAACCATCAACCTCAATGAATGAAAAAACTACAGCTGATTCAAAACCCAGTGGAAGAAGACTGTATCCTCTCCACTGGTGTGAGAGCTAGTGAAGACATGGTTTGGCATCTGCAATTCTAAACAAACAACTTGGCCTCAGTAAGCTTTTAACTCAATGAATGCCCAAGACATTGTGTGAAGAGCAACTCGCTCAAGGAGCTGATCTTTCCGTCAGTCTAAAACAAGATCAAGGCTAATGAAGATGATATTTATGGAATGGATTGTAACCAGAGATGAGTCTTAAATGTTCAATATGATGCAAAGAGCTAGGTCCAATAAAACACAGTAGCTTCTGAGGGATCTAGCGATGATGGATGCATAACCCCGCTGCTAGTTAAACTCAAGACAGACAGAGAGGTCAAGTCAAAAGGTTATGACAACTGTTTTTGAAAAGTCCAAAGGACTATTTTGATAGACTTTTGCAAAGGACACAGGGGTGATCACTGGGGCTTATTGTAAGCCACCATACTCAGCAAAGACAATTATTTTTGTTCCTAAACTCAAAATGCATTTCAAAGGAACACTATTTGAGTCCTGCCAACAGTTTTGATGGCTACCTTAGAAATCAACATCTCTCTTCCCATAAAGGCTAGAGGTGTCAAATTGCCACCCTTAGGATCATAGGCCAACACTTAACTATGACACCACCAGGGTGCCTTGTGAATAGGAAGATAAAAACACCTTCTTCAAAAGAAGCATGTAGAACTAAAAGAAGGATAGGTCAAGAAACAGTAACTTCCCATTTTGGTATTTCTGTTTCATGAAAGTTCAATTATTTCATAGCAGTACTTTTTGACTTACTCTTGTATTCAACAGATAAAAGATTAACACCCAGAATATCAAAGACTCTTCTACAAATAATCAGGAATAGACAAAATTAGGAAAGTGGACAAAGAATATGAAGAGGCAATTTGGAGAAGAAGAAATACAAATGGCCAATGAATATATGGAAAATTATTCAACCTCTCTACTGCTCAAGGAAATGCATATTTAAATAGATTTTATTTTTCATTTATTAGATTGATGAAAATTAAAAGATTTTAACATTCACTGTTGGAGAGTGTGAGGAAAAATAGATGCTTATAAACTGCTGGGAGGGGGCAGGGAGCAGGGTGAAAATCAGCCGAGCTTTGAGTAGCATAATTGAGGAGTACATTTTAAAAATGTTCAATGTGCAAACCCTCTGAGGCTGAAATTCTTCTGAAAATAGATCTTACAGTATGCTTTTAAATTTTTATGTTTTCTTTCTTTTTTTTTTCAAAAAATGTATTGAGAATCAGGTGAGATGCTTTTTTAAATGACCTAAGCTTGCTTTGGAATAGTTTGTGTTTCTAAATGCCCGTATTTAGGGAATTGGTAGAATCAAGTAGGGTTTCTTTACTGAATCAGTGAGTGATCATGGCATAGCCAACCACTCCAACCTCAGTTGCTGAAGATAGCTTTGTGTTGGCTGATCCTAGCTCTACTTCAAACTTCAGGGCCCGCTGGCCTTTGTTCCTCACTCAGGGTTGGGTTCTTGTCTGCTTTTCAGTTTGGGTTCTTTAGAAACATCATTAAAATTCACACACATCCAACTAGCTTGATTAGGAGCCCCGGTGACACCGTCAGAGAAGCCTTGGACAGCTAACTGGAAAGTCAGCGATTCGAGCCCTCCAGCCACTCCTCAGGAGAAAGGAAGCGACTCTGCTCCCATAAAAGTTCGCAGCCTCACACATTCACAGGATCTCGGGTGGCCCAGAGGTGGGATGTGAGAGATGGCTTTCGAAGAAAAAGTGTCTATTCTTCCCACTATTGCAGAGAGCGTTCTCCTCATAAAAAGGACAATCCCTTTTTCAGAGAATCACCTGGAGGCCGAAAGGATTCCCCACACAGCAGGTCTGGACCCAGTGCCAGCAGTAGAAGCTGCTCCCCAGAGAGGAGCAAGTCGTACTCTTTCCAGTAGTCTCAACATAGAAGTCAAGACTCAGAGACCTGTTCAGCCACTGAAAACTTCCAGAGATACTTCCCCCTCAAGTTCAGCAGTCTCTTCACCAAAGGTGGTAGACAAGCCCGGGAGGCTCACCGAAAAGGAACTTGCTGAGGCTGCAAGCAAGTGGGCTGCTGAAAAGCGAGAGAAGGCAGATGAAAGTAACCTACTGGAAATCCCTGCGTATGAGACGGGACCCCCTGCACCCTTGTTTATTGACCAACCAGAAGCACCCGAGTCAAATCCAACAGATGGCATAGAACTATTGGAAGACGGTCAGCTAACCAGTCGTTCTAAAGCAATAGCATCCAAAACTAAAGAGATTGAACAGGTTTACCGACAAGACTGGGAAACATTCGGGATGGTTGTGAAAATGCTGATTGAAAAAGATCCTTCATTAGAAAAGTCCATTCCGTTTGCCTCAAGGCAGAATTTACATGAAATCAGTGAGCAGTGTGTTGAAGATCTCGAGCATTTCGTTTCTGAGTATGACACTTCGACACAAGGTTTTGGAGAGTCTTTTTAGAAAATGTTTTTGCTCAAACTAAAAGAGGTTTCTGGACCACCACCACCACCCCCCATTGGATTGTGTAAATCTTTAATATATGGTATTTGGGGGGACGAAGAGAAATACTTATGACAGTTGACCACATTTCCAATGTCAAATAAACATCTAAAATAGAAAAAAAAAGTTTCAGCCTCGGAAAACTTCCTAGAGTCCCTGTCAGTTGGAATCAGCTTGATGGCTGTGGGCATGTTTTGTTGTTGTCACAGCTGATTCAGGTTTAGACCAATTAAGACAATATCAGAAATAAAGGAGAGATTTGATTACAATTTATACTGACTATAGGATCACAATTGATCCTATAGTCAATATAAAGAAAATAAAGGAATATTACTAATAACTCTATGCCACTATATTTTAAAACCTTGAAGAAATGGGCATACTTAAATATAATTGACACAATGGAATAAAATCTGAGTATTCCTTCAGATTTACTAATGAAATTGAAATGTGTTTTAAAAACATTCCAACCAAGAAAACTTCAGGCCCCAATGGTTCACTAGTGAATTGTATGAAACTTTCATGGACAAAATAACTCCAATCTAACACAACCCTTTCACAAACTAGAGAAGAAGCAAACACATCACAACTAATTTTACAAAACCACCAAAATATAATGCTAGAATCTAACAAAGACAGTCAATTTTTCATTTAACAATAAATCAATGTAATTAACACAAGGCATTAGAACTATATAACCACTGCAGTAAATGTAGAAAAGGCATCTGACAAAAGTATTCGACTCTGTGGGCCCTACAAATTATGTCGGTGCTCACTGCAGCAGCACATATACTAAAACTGGAACTCTACAAATTATGTGTAACGTTTTGAAAGATGGAACTTCCAGAATACTTCATTGTCCTCATATGGAACCTGGACAAAGACCAAGAGATAGTGGTTGAAGCAGAACAAATATGTGGTTGAAGATGAGGAAAGATGTGAGCCAGGGTTGTTCAATCTGTGTGCTGAGCAGCCAAATGATCTGAGAAGCCGTACTGTGTGAGGGACAGGGCATCAGGATGTGAGGAGGACACATCACAAGTCTACCCTCGCTTGCTGAAATCGAAGAGGACTTGAAGCCCTTACTGCTAAAGAGGAAAGACTACATTCTTCGATATGGATCATAACTCAACATAAAGAAAACAAAAATCCCCACAAGTGCGCCAATGAATATATCATGAAAAACGGAGAAAAGCCTGAAGTTGACAACGCCTTCATTTTACCACGACTTCATTGGATCCACAACAACGCCCATGGAAGCAACAGGCAGGAAATCAAGCGAGGTATTGTCTTGGGTGATTCTGCTGCAAAAGACCTCTTTCAAATGCTCAGAAGCAGTGATACTACTTTGAAGACTAAGGTGCACCTGACACAATGCCCGCATATGCATATGCTGGCTTTCAATTCAGGGACTGCTGTGTTTTGTCTAGTCACTGTTGATATTTTTTGGTTTCTTTGCTTACTTTCTGTTTTATGTTTTTGTATGATTTTCTGTATATGGAATCCAGGATAGGTAAATCTATAGAGAGTAACTGGATTAATAATTACCCATGACAGGGAAGGATGGAGTAAATGGGGAGTTAATAACAATGAGTACAAGAAGAAAATGTTATAAAATTGATTGTGGTGAAATTCACAACTCTTCTTAATATGATTGAACAATTGGATGGTGTATTAGTCTAGGTACTTTGGAGAAACAAATCCACAGCAACTCACGTATAAGAGAGAGTTTTATGCAAAGAAAATGTGCATCACGAAAACATCCCAACCCAATGCTGCCCAAGCCCACAAGTCCAACATTAACCCATACCCAACACCAGTCCACAAAGTCCTTCACCTCACAAAACAGAGGCAATGATGCCGACTGCAGGAGGAAAGCTGAGTCAGTGAACGAACAAGCATCTCAGCACTAGCAGGGGTCTCCACACGGCTGCTCCAGCACCGAGGGCTGCATCGGGATAGGTCCATGTGGCTTCTCCTTGGCGATATCTTGTAGGAAGTCCATCTTGCAAGCTGAAGCAGGAAACTGCTAAGGCAGCTGCACCCGATACAACCATCACAAAACAAGAGACCCGAGAACTAGAAAGGCGAGGCTTCACCACCCATTTATCCCTCCGCCTTTCAACCAGCACCACATGTGATTATCGGCCAGGCTGGCACAATCAACTAACTCAGATGGTATGATATGTGAAGTATATGCCAATAAAACAAAATTTTTTAAAGGCCAAAGAAGAATTGGTGTCTTTGAATTATGGTGTTGGGTAAGAATATTAAAGATGCCACAAACTGCCACAAGTGTAAAGAAAACCATCAGAAGAAGTCCAGATGCTCCTTAGAAGTGAGGGTGGGGAGAGTTCATCTCGTGGACTTTGGACACGTTATCCGTGCTATCAGGAGGGACCAATCCCTGGAGAAGGACATCATACTTGGTAAAATAGAGGGTCTGTGAAAAAGGGAATAACCTTCAAAGAGATGGGTGGACACAGTGGCTCCCACACTGGACTCAAACACGAGAACCAGCGGTGTTGTATTGTTCTATACGGGTCACTCTGAGTCAGGAATGATGCCACAGCACCTAATAGCATTCATCAGGCAAACTCTCAGTAAAGTAGGAAGATAAGGGAACCTTCTCTATCTGATAAGTCTAGCTGCTACCATTGATTCTATTCTGCCTCAGGGTTTCTGAGGGTGTACATCTTGAAGAGAGCAGATAACTTCAGCTTTCTCCTCAGGGATGGCTGGTGGTTGTGAACTGCTGACCTTGTGATTAGCAGTCCCACACTGACCTGACAGCAACACTAGGTTTCCTAATCTGATAAAAGACATCATCAAAAGAGCTACAGAAAACCTATCCTGACTGATGAAATAGTGAAGGTTTCCCCCAATGTTGGGAGCTTCTTCTACCACTTCTGTTAAATATGAAACTGGAGGCTCTGGTTATTGCCGGAAGACAGAGCACTAAACAAGGGGCAGAGTATGCAAATAGCACCTTTATTGTTAACTTTGTGGTAAAGATCAATATGAATCCAATTCCCAACATGTGTCAATGGATGCAGTTCTCACTTTTCTGTCTCTGTCCTCATCATCAGACAGCCACTCAGCACTGGTTTTCTCTCAGCCCCAGCCACCCAGAGCTTTTTAAAGGTCAGAGCTCATGTTTGAAAGACACCTTCTTTCAGACTGCCAAATAGACAGATGCCAGCCCCTACTGGTTCTCACTGCCCCTCTGGGTTTGTTAATTTGCTGGAATGACTCACAACATTCACAGAGTTACAGGTACAGATTTATTACAACCCAAAAGGATAAAAATGAAGAAATACATAGATTGAGGTCTGAGAATAGTTACACGCCCTCCAAGGGGGAGGCACTGCCCTCTCCTGTGCATGGTAACCAGCCAGGAAGCTCCTGTAGACTGCACCTTCAAGACTCCTATTGACCTCTCCACAAGGCCAAAGCCTCAGAAGCGTCAACCAGCATCAACCCCCCAGGTGGCCCCCCTTGGTCTCCATCCTCATTCATTAGCCTCAGGTGGTGATGTGGCTGGGGGTGGGGTGTGGCCGGAGTCGAGAGACTGAGAACAAAGACTAAAGAGCCTTCGGTAAAGTGATTCCACAGTACAAAATAAGAAGAAGAAGAATGATAAAATGCAGAAAAAGAAATAAAACTGTCTCTTTTTGAAATTATGTTATCACATATATTAAAAATGTAATCTACCAAAAAACTAGAATGAATAAGTGAATTTAGCAAAGACATAGGACACAATGATAATATATAAAAATCAATTGTAAGCAATTCAAAAATTAAAAATTGTTAAATGTTGTCTAAACTGACATCAATAAGCATAAGAGACTCTGGGATGGTTTTTACAACAGACATGTAAGCTCTCTTCAATGAGGAACAATATAGAGCAACACTAAGAGAAAGTAAAGCCCTAATTAATTGGAGACATATACCATCTTTATAAGCTGGAAGTTGCAATGTCGTTAACATATCAATTCTTCCCAAATTTATCTATAGGTTCAAGGCAATCCCAATAAAAATTTCAACTGGATTTTTTGTAAAAATTGACAAACTAATTCTAAAACACATATGAAAATATAAGTGGCCTGCAATGGCAAAAGCGATTTTTTTAAAGATGAACAAAGCTGAAGGAGTTTTGCTACCTGATTTCAAGACATACCATAATCTACAGTAATCAATATAGGGAAGTATTGGCAGAAGAATAAACAATGGAACAGAATATAAAGTTTGGAAATAGACACACATTTATTTTCTATTGATTTTTGGACAAGAGGGCAAAGCAATTCAATGTGAGAAAAGGAAAACGGTTTTTTGTTTTTTAAAAAACAGAACAACTAAATATCCATATAAATGAGAGAACGTCACCTCAATTCACACCACACACAAAATTAACCTGAAGCAGATCAGAGATTCAATGTAAAAGTTTTGACTCTAGAAATCCTAAGAGAAAATATTTGTAACCTATGGTAGGTAAAGATTTCCTAGATACAGGAAAAGAGGGACCAGACTTCAACCCAGTGCTCCAAGGTGTGAATGCAACATGCGGTGTGGAATAGGGAACTAGTGGAGAGGTCTGGGGGGCTGGCCCCAGTCCCAAATACTAAGTGGATGCCTGTCCTTCCCCCCAGAAGAATTTATTTCAAAGGACGTCACTGAATCCGCAGCTCCCGGAGAGGGACATGTCTGATCGGAGCACACAGGAGCAAATGACGGGGTAGGAGGAGAGACTGGACCACATCCTAGCCCACCAGGCCTTAAGGACGATGACCCCAATTAGAGCAGCCAGTCCACAGAGGGGACCACATGGCCGGCCCCACTATGAGACATGATTCCCCTCACTGACCCATGGCCCTGCGAGGGACAGCACCAGAGACACAGTGTGGGAATTGCACCGGATCTGATCCCACCACACTGAGGCAAAGCACTGGGGCAGTGCAGCT